TATTTGTACTTGGTTTTAGACTTATCAGACAAGATACTAGCTACAGAAAAGGGGAAATTTTCACACATTTTTATAGATTTTTCATTTTATTTACCCTCTTTGGTAAAAAGTAGTAATGTGAAGGGAACCGAAATGTAACCACTTGAAACTATTTGATTTATAGCCATGAACTAATCACTAAGGGTTCAGCATTAGCAGAGTGGTGCAGCGGAAGCGTGCTGGCGTGCATCTATCTATCTATCTTACTGTAAATTTGTTAACTGGAGGCAGTTCATTGGACAAGGGACATTTTCGTAGATTTTTCATTTTATTTACCCTCTTTGCTAAAAAGTTGTAATGTGAAACAAAACATAACCACTTCAAACTGTCTTATTTATAGTCATGAACTAATTAATAATGACTAATAATAGCTCAACATTAAAAGGTAACTGTCGTCTCCAACTGGAACTTTTTAGATGCCTTTTTAATACTAGAATTCTCGCGTAGTAAATCATACATTACTTGATAGGCTGGTTGATAGACACCTGACATGTTGTTAACAGTCTATAGATGATTATCATTTATAAATGTTTTTATTATTTACAAGCTAGCCATAAACCTCCCACCACATCCTGTTCAGTCATCCTTACAGTAGTCTACATTCTGTTTCATGTGGACAAAACGAAAGCACTGGACGAACTATACAACCATTAATGGACTAGAAATTGCACACCCTGAGGCTGCTTTCATCGTTGCTGGGCACTTTAATAGGCCAAACATGAGGAAGGTTCTTCCCAAGTTCTTTCCCACACGAGGCGATTAGACCTTAGATCACTGCTGTTTAACACTAAAGGACAGTTACAAACCCCTCCCCCACCCTGTCTTTGGCAAAGGTGACCACATTAGCATATTGCTATGATGCAGCAGGAGACAGCATACATGAATACACAGATTCTGTGATAAGCTACATCAACAAATGCAGAGAAGATGTTGTCCCAACAGTCAACGTAAAGTCATTTCCCAACCAGAAACCATGAGTCAATGGAGAGGTGTGCACCAGGCTGAGAGCACAAACTGCAGCCTTAAACTCTGGGGATTGGACTGCCTACAAGAGGTCCAGGTATGACCTTCAAAAGGCTATCAGATCTGACAAAAGAGACTTCAGGGACAGAGTGTAGTCACACTATTGCTGATCTGACCCCAAACGCATGTGGAGCGGTCTGTGAACTATAACAACTGCAAAGGCAGGAAGAGTAGCCATGTGCCTAAGTCTGCCTCCTTACCCGACGAGCTCAACACATTCTACGCTCGCTCTGAGGCAGGCAATACATTCCTTGCTGTGAAAATACCTGCTGACCATGACACCTGCCCTCTGGCTCTAACTACACCTGAAGTGAGCAGGGCCTTTAAGAGAGTCAACACTCGGAAGGTACCAGGACCTGATGGCCTCCACGGACGTGTCCTGAGGGCCTGCGGTGACCAGTTAGCAGATGTTTTCAATAACATCTTTAATCTCTCTTTGAGCTTGACTGTGATCCCCACATGCTTCAAGCAGACCACCATCATCCCTGTCCCCAAGAAAACTGCTGT